GAGACATAGACTATCATCATAAGTGTCACCTTCTCCCCAACTCCCTTTTATACATTGACTTTACATGTATGTCAAATATACTTACGTTTCCGATCATCACCACAGGCAACTTCAGCAAGGTACCGGAAGTAATCTCCTTTCATTTTCAGATAGAAGACCTTACTCTCTGGATTAGTTGCATTGGCTATTAAATACTTATCCAACAATTCCTGAAAGAAATAAGATAAAACAGTAAACACTAGTAAAAACTACTTAATTACAGACAAGAACTTGCAATATAATGACATGCTTCTGCCTATCATGCATTTGAACTGCCTATTATTAATATAACATTATATCATTCTAGCCAGAACTTGAAGCATGTTCTTACAACTGCTTGTTGTAAGCTTTAAATCATGTGGCCTACAGTTTCTAACAGTAAAGCAAACATTATTAAAAACAACCTGCCCTTTTACCCAGCCATTCATTCATCATTTATTGATCCTTGCATACATGCCAGGTATTTGGCCAGAGTGAATACATACAAGACTGAAGATAAGGTCCCGGCTCCTAAGACGCTCCCAGCTCCTAAGAAGCTCCCAATCTACAYACCAAGTGTTAATAGATATAGAAATGACATGCTATGAAAGCACAGAGATTAAATAGCTGGTTCTATTAGAGACCCCAAGGGTCAGACAAAATTCCTAGGGGAGGGATACTTGAATATCAAGAAGAATGAATGAACCAAGAAGAAAACAGGGATTTGTAATCATTTTATTTAGGGAGGGGAAACAAAACATTTAAGACATCAAGTTCCAGGGAGAAGAGTACAATCAGGGAACAAACAAATAAATCATCACAGCCTCAAGCAGCATGTCCAGTACCCTCTATAGACAAGCACCTGTCAAGAATAAGGCAAGCCCAGGAACTGTGTATGAGCTTTAGAAACTTAAACAGCAATTTTAYGCCAACTGAATTTGAATTTTTTTTAAAAAAGCAGCCCCAGGGATGAAACCCAAGTGCTCTATCCCTAAGTTACACCCCAGCCTGATTTTACATATTTTCAAAATTGGGTATTTCTTTTATCCCTGATTTCATATCAAGATACCTGCAACTTGATGGAACGAAAACCAGTGCTGCTCAAACAGAAGTATTTTTACTTCCAAAGATGCCAGGTATGACCAGGAGTATTAAAAAAAAAAAAAAAAGTCACAAAAAAACAAGTATGGTATTTTAAGACTACCGATTTTACTTGATGTTAAGTAATTAAAATCTTTTTTGGCCAGGCACAATGGTACATACTTGTAATCCTCAGTGACAGGGGGACTGAAGCAGCAGGACCACAAGTTCAAAGCCAATCTAAGCAACATCGCAAGACACTGTCTCAAAATAAAAATAAAAGGACCGGGAATGCAGCTTGGTAGTATGGCAACCTTGGATTCAATCCCCAGCACACACACACAAAAAAAAAGGTACTAAAATATTGTGGAATATAGTGAAATTCTCTTAGAAATTTTAAGATTTTAATACCCACTGCATAGGTTTGTTTTGGTAATAAATTTTTTCAGATGCCACTAGCTCTGGATTTGATAATGAGGGAAATGTTACATGTTAAGTGCTCATGTAACCATGTCACATGTTAAGTGCTCAATAAACACTGGCTGTTACTGGCCAGTTCTCCTGCCTAGGTACACAGTTTGAGAAGAACTGCTTCAGGCAAAGTTAAACTAGTGAAAAATTCTAAGCAAGAAAATTAAGATTGCACTTTGGAAAAATAGTTACATACTATCAGTTAAGAAGACATAAAAGTACCAACAATGATACAAAGTGGGGAGTTTGTAGAATAACCCAGTAAATCTGCTTCAACTTCAGATAAATTCATACTGAAGAAAATGAAGACTTTTTACAGATCTAAAATACAAGTTTAGAAAATGTAGTTCTGGGGCTGGGGTTGTGGCTCAAGTGGTAGCACGCTCGCCTGGCATGC